GTCCCAAAAATCCTGAGTGTCAAGTTTTTAATTTGGCTGAGTATATTAATTAATGTAGGCTTTCATTTTTAAAAAATAAAATAATTATAGATATTAAAATTCTATTTAAATAGGCCTATAACATTTTTCAATGAACATTATTTGAGTTGATTGGTTTCTCTTTTTACAAACAAAAGTATAAACCAAAAACAACTTGAGAATGAATATTTTGCATATTGCTCTGGGTGTCATGTAATGTTTTGACGGCCTTTATAGGCCCCCTAATGAAATTGTCCATTTTACACTACTGCACAAGAATATATTAAATTATTATAAATCTGAAGTTTGCTCTAGATATCCATGCCATAGGTCTGATCTGTGTTCAGAGTTACTTTTATTTTTGTGATTTTTTTTGTCAACTGATTTAGAAATAGAAAATTTAATTTATACTGTGTACTATTATGGAATTATCTGCGATACAAACTGAAGTTAACCATACAGCATACTGATACTATATACTATAGATAATCACAGAGTAAATTAAAATTATTTTGAATTACTGAATGGTTTAAAATTAGTGATAGTGCTTCAGTAAATATTTTATTGGTCGGATTAAGGCCTACCAGTAAAAAGGGGAATGTGATTTTGAATAGCATAACTGCATAACAGTATTAGGCTTACTGTTTTATTAAAAGCTTATTGCAACTGAACATTGAGCAAAATAATATTTTTGTTATGAAATTTGAAAAGGTATATAAATATAACATACCATAAACTTAACACTTAAATTGTTTACCACAAGTAATTGTAGGCCTACATAGAATCACATTTTGCGATACAAAATCTTAGAAAAAATTAGGCTTGTCCATTATCCTTTTGCCAGAATACAACAGATTCTTCAGAAAATATAGTTAGTTCCCTCGCACATGATTCTTTTTCCAAGTGCTTTTTATGACAACATATGAATCTAAATTTATTTTATTCGGTAGACTGTAGGCCTATTATTTTGTTTGTAGATTTTATTTGTTTTTACAAAAAATATAGAATGTAAAAAGAACATGTGCAACTACGGACATTAATAGTACATTGATTTGATTTAAGTTAGAGCGAGAGGTCATATTATCACAAGATAAAGACGTATAGAGATCTACTTCAAAAGTTCTAGGCCTACAGTACTCAGTACTCTACATTTGAATATATCAATAATATCATACAATATATTGACATTAATGTCAATTAAGCCTAACCAATCAAATAAGAAAATATGTACTCTTACAAAATAAATTTTTTGATGATACATGTATATATTGCTGTTCTTATAATCTATTAGATCTATGTTATTATGGCTCAGTATTTATTATATTTATAGCACTCGACGATGACTCGTATCGACATCGTACTCGTAGGGCCTACTCGTAGCAGACGACGCGACGTAGACTGAGCTCTTTTTCTTCAGGAATGCTGAATTTTTTTTATCCCTCACTAGTCCAAAAAATTAAAACACCCGGCATAGGACCTACTCTGGGTACCATATCCACCACTCGGATTTTTACATTTCCTGCGAAACGTCTTCTTTAGCCGCCATGTTTAGCGACATTACAGACAAACCCCAAGATGCAGTGCACGACCTACTTTTTATGCAAATGAAGCAGTCGCCACTCTGTGTATTTTTACTCTGTGGCAACCACACTGATCCGCAGTGAATATTTGCTAGGCCGCTACAATCACTGATAAGGATGACATCGTAGACTGGACAACCTGCTCTAAATGACGTCAGGCTGGTTCCTACGTCACTGCGCTATTCTGACTTCAACAAGTCAGAAAAGGAGTGACGTAGGAGCGAGTCTGACGTATTAGAGCAGGTTATCCAGTCTAGATGACATCGATGCGGCTTAATGAGCCAGAAATATTAACTTTTTTCCTGCGACAAATTAAATTCTAAAACATTTCTTTTATGTATTGGAAAAATAAATAAAGGCATTTGACGTATTTGTAGGTAAAAATTATTTCCTATTTAGTGTAAATGGGTATTAAAATGACTAAAATGCAGCATTCTCTCCGAAGCAGTAACGTCTTATGTAAACAATGCATGCGCCATTCAGCCAATGATTGACGCCGCGTGCTGTGACAGCACGTGTTAAGGCAGTCATCTTTGACAGAGATATACTATTCAAAAAAAGTAGGGGATATTTGATTTTTTTAAGTGTTATTAAAGTCACCTAATGAAACTGACGAAGAAACAAATGACAAAATGAAATGAAGTTCACATTCATCGATTTATTCCAAATGATCGTTAGACTAAGTAAGGCACAGACTGACCATTATAAGGGTAAAATGATACCCGGGGTCAAACAGCAAAGTTACCACAGCATCACAACCAAGTCAGTAACGGGTAAATCCTCCTCTGTTTGCCAAACAAGCATTGATCCGACGTGGCATACTCCTAATGAGACGTCTAAGGTCATTTTGGTCCAGATTGTCCCATTCCTGTTGCAACGCAGCAGCAAGTTCTTGGACATTGGCAGGACGTTGTTGACGTTGACGTAACCTCTGTCCAAGCATGTCCCAGACATGCTCGATGGGGGAGAGGTCGGGACTCAGTGCTGGCCAAGGTAATGTGGTGATGTTCTGTTGTTGGAGGTAACCTGTAACGATCCTGGCCCTGTGACATCTTGCGTTGTCATCCTGGAAGATGAAACGGCGGCCATGACGTCGTGCGAACGGCACAACATGGACTGCCAAGATGTTGTCCCGGTAGTACTGGCCTGTAACACGCCCTGCAACAACATGTAAAGCCGTTCTTCCAGCAACAGTAATGCCTCCCCACACCATAACAGAACCACCCCCAAATCGATCATGTCTGATGACGTTAACGTCTTGGAAGCGCTCGTTTCGACGACGCCACACCCTCCTACGTCTGTCCAAAAAATCAACAGTGAACATTGACTCATCTGAAAACATCACATTGCTCCAGCGTCGATTATCCCAGTGTTGACGATCCCTACACCAACGACGTCTTGCCTGAATGTGATGATCTCTCAAACAAGGGATCACGCGAGGACGTCGGTCGCGAAGGTGACCCCTATGCAGTCGATTCCGAATCGTCTGGCCACTCACTCTCACACCAGTGTCTGTTTGAAGACGAGCGCTGATCTGATTTGCTGTGATGACACGATTTCTCAAGGCCAAGGTACGGATAAATCGATCCTGGGCTTGAGTTGTCGCCCTTGGTCGACCTGAGCGTGGTCTGTCCTGTACAGATTGTGTATCACGGTATCTGGACCATAGCCTGCTTATGACAGACTGAGAAACATTCATCGTCCGCGCCACAACCGCCTGTGTTGTGCCGATCTGTAGCATGCCAAGGGCACGTAACCTTTCATTTTGGGTAAGCCGACGCATATCAAAATTTGTTTTCTGGTGCGTTTGGGCGTCACATATAACTGGAAATGTTTCTTCTGTTAGGTTCTATAGTGACTTTTTTCGTAGTCATTTGCATATTTTAGTATTATGCCCCCAAAATCAAATATCCCCTACTTTTTTTGAATAGTATATAACTCTATGGTGGCAACATAGAACTAAATAATAACGTCTCTGTGGCACGTGTGCGTCTGTCTTAATCAAGGGGCACAACTCTAATCTAATACAGTAGACTTTTACATCTAGACACAATTAAAATCCTAATATCATCGAATTATATTATAACTAGACTTAATAAATGCTAATGTTAATAATTTGAGTTTATTTAAAATTGATAATTTCTTGCTACGTATTAAAAATGTTAACTTTTAGTTTAAATCAACATATAAAATAAAACCATATAGATATCAAAAAATGGTTTCTAACTTGTTCCGTTGCGGAGAAATAGATGATTTTGTACAAGTCGCTTTTCAAGGTTTTCATAAAGTCTGTCATTGAGTCGACTGGCATGGTTTCGAATCCCCGGTTGTACGTGACAAGGAGTAGGGTCGCCTGTCCCTCGTGGGTTTTCTCCGGGTCCTCCGGTTTCCTCCCACTGCTAAAGACCCCTACGCGCAAGCGAATTATTGAAATAAAATTAAACCATATGTTAGTCCCGAAATGACCTAGTTTGTGTCAAGTGGACGTTAAACCCCATTTCTCTCTCTCTCACTCTAATCGATTTTCATAAAATTCCACCCTGAATGCCTTGTGCCATTTACGATTTCATTACACAAATTCAGGATTTTCAATATCACCGGAAGTAATGTCATTTTGGCAAAAACAAATATTTGTTTGAAGAAATTATTCGTACAAAATTATGATATTTGATTTCAATGGACACAGTATGAATCGATATGATCATATAGACATCAACAAAGGTGTTTCTAGCGTCTTCCCTTGTGGAGAAATAACCAGTTTTGTCAGTATCACTTTTTAAGTTTTTTTGCATTTTAATAAGGCTTTATAAAGGGTTAATTCTGTTTAAATAAATTTTAATCAAGTTTCTGTCATGCAAAGGACAATCGAAGTGGTTATTTCTGTAAACCAATTTAAATATTTTGTTGATAACAGAAGTGATGTCATTGTGTCGAGTCTTTGTTGTATAAATGGAAATGATATTGCTGGATTTATTGGCTAATTCTGTGTACATTTTATAACACTTGTCCAATGTTCATGTTGAAATCTGTTTAACGTTTCCATCGGTATGGAAGTGACTTCAGTTCAAGGGTGGCACCAGTGAAACCTGTCATGCATCGCCGTTCTAGTTATTATTATTATGTTCAAGTCACTTCATGTGATTATGGTGTCTATTTCATACCAGATTTGATAAGTTTTTTAGCTTCTGTGGATTTGAAAGAAAATGATGGTAACTAAGTATGAATAATATATTGATGATGTGCAGACTGGTCACTTAGTTGATGAGAAATAAATTTATCCATCTGTGTCAACTGGTCACAAGTTTTATTACATTTTTAAACAAAACATTTCACTAGATATCAGCATACATTTGTATTAGCTACAAGTATATGCTCTATAAAAAGGCTAATCAAAATATTAAGGACTAGGAATGTAACATATTTATTGATTGTGGAAAATGATATAACAAAATCCAGATGTCATTGTACAAAAAACTTATTACAGTACTGCAAATGCATATTGTGTTACAAACTTACATGTCATAAAATGTAAATATAACCCACCAACCTAAAACCAGCGGTTGCCAGGCAAGATACGCCCACATTTGCAAAAGATGGAGAGAGAACAAGCTAAAAAAAAAAAGCGATCTTTCGTAAATGGATTGATTTTATATTTTAAATTTCATCAAAATCAGATAAAAATTGTGACTTCTAGAGAGTCCACAACCTTGGTTACTATTTGCTAGTGCTCCTACGACTAGTCGGATAGCCGTAAACGGTTAGAACTGGACGGTTAAACGGTTCGAATTCAACGGTACGGTTATTCGGAGATGTCCCCCATTACATGGAGTTGTGTCTGATTATATTCCTCTTTATAACAAAACTTGCCCGTGGTCATTTTGTATTTGATGTTTGAAAATCTTAGAATCTAAAAGTCGTCCTACGATGTCGACTGCTAAAAAAATAATACTATTAATAGCACTCGTCGTAGTCATACGGCAAAGTCAACGGACCTTGTTCTGACTTTAGCTATTGTTAATGCAATCTAAATACTTCTCGGCATTTCTAACTATATTAGAAACCAAGCTGATTGGGACCATGGCTGATTGGGACCAAAAATCAAAGCTGATTGGGACCACATTCCAGGCTGCTTGGGACCACCACTAGGCTGATTCGGACCACACGATAAAAAATACTAGAAACTGAGGTTTTGATATTGAATTAAGTTTAAAGGAGTTTTATCTAGGCTATAGCGTGACTATAATTATTTTCTTTTATGTAGGCCTACGTTATTTATGTTTATATTCCATTTTTTTATGTCACAGTTACTATATTAACAGAGATTATCTCATTAATCTTATGTAAATTATTATACGTTTTATGCAATTTAAACAGAGCATTTTTATTTTATTTTATAAACTTCATAGCTTGTTTCGGAATCCATTATAGCCTATATATTGTGTGTAATTATACGTAGATATACTGTTTAAACCAATTTATTGTAATTTCAATAAGTCATACAAATTTGAAAACTAATACTAGCAATACAGTAGCATAACGGAAATCCGGATATATTGTGTGTAATTATGTTATAGAAATAATGTTTAAACCATACAAATTTGAAAACTAATACCAGTAATACAGTAGCAACGGTAATCAGTTATTTCAAATATGATGTATATAAAAGCAATCAAAATGTTTATTCTACCTTGCACAGAAAAAAACAATAGATTTATAGACTCAATTTTAACACAAGTAAACAGGTAGGTGATATCTAGGAAAGTCCGAAAGTGTACTATATTACTACATGAAAATTACTTAGATCTTACTGACAGCCACAACAGGGAATTTGTGTGATTGGATCTGATTATTTATTGGATTACTAGGCTTGTCATTAATTAACAATAAATGGTGTGATAAGGGTCTTGTATAATGCTACCGGAGTTTTATACTATAAAGCGTGATTTAATTAACTTTGTTTAATGTGTATATTACTAAGAAAATTTTACACATTTGTCAACCAATTTAGTGTATTACATTCAACACTTGTCTAGATCAGGAAGGTCCTACTAAATAATAAAATATTGGTTTGTAAAGGAATTGAATCGCCACCAAATGTCTCGTTATATGAAATAAACTGATATTTACTAATTAAAATATTATACAAAGTACAATTTGTCTGACATTTTTTCAACTTCACTCATTACAAAATATCGCATTCGTTGCAGTAACTATATCTGATATGAGGCTATTTGATATTGGGTTACAATTTGATAATACTGGGTAGTATTTATTGTCATGCAAACATATTTAAAACACTCTCGTCATTGGTCTGATCATGGTCCGAATCAGCCAAGAATCTGGTCCCAATCAGCCAAGAATGTGAAGCATCTTCTCTGTGATTTAGCTCATTTGTATTGAAGCCGTCATTCACTAATTACACTATTATTTGTGACTAATTACACTATTTATTGTCATTGTTGTCTTATTATCAAAAATATGCAAACATATTTTAAATACTCGCGTCATTTAAGTAATGGTCCGAATGAGCCTTGTCGCGGTCCCAATCAGCCATAAATCTGGTCCCAGTCAGCCAAGAATCTGGTCCCAATCAGCCACAAATCTGGTCCCAGTAAGCCAGGTCCCAGTCAGCCAGGGCCCTTATTCACGGAAACTTAAACTAAGATACAATCGTAATTTCTAGCAAGAATTCTACTTTGGTTTTTAGCTAAATTAACCAATCATAAAAATTCTACTTGCAAGCGAGGAATTATTTCTTTATTGTCCAATCAATAGACGCCTTCCAATTTACTTTATTCTATTCTTAACAACAAATAACTACGGCCTTAGATTTAGACAGTTTAAATTTTCATTAAAGAATTGTACATGTCTATGAAAAAATTCCTGAAATTTTGGCGCGTGCGCACGAGTAATGACTCGCACCTCCGTAGGTAACTAACGTACGAAAATTAATTGGTGGCTAGCTTTTTTTTCGCACGTATACAGTGAATGGCCATATTGCTCAGTAATCCCAGCCAGAATTTGGCTATTTTCTAAATTTGCGTTAAAGTTTAAAATATTTGTTTTAGAACTGAAACACATTAACTATTAGTCAATCCCAACGCTAAAAACATCAACAGAATTGATTGTGTATATCTGAAATAGACCCGACCGACGCACAAAATAGTGCAATATGGCGGCCTCTATGATGAACAACTCTTGCAGATCCTGTCATTGAAGACAACGTCAATTCTATGAGTTGTAGATGTTATTTTTGGTGAAAAATCATTGGAAAAAGAGAGAACATGTTGGGACTGTACGAATTATATAGTCTTTATGGGTGCAACGGACACAATGCTGAAGATAAACCTATTGTTTACAATGTTGACCTCATGACCCATTGACGTCAATGTCATGACCTGTTATGTGTAGATCACGTGATATGGATATCATGGCTATTGACTGTGTCTGAGATACTTCTCCGCAGGTAGCGTGTCTCAGATGTTCAGAATGTCGCACCTCCTGACAAGCTCTGATTTATGTTTTAAATTGATACCATACCGTTAAACGGTTACTAACCAGTTAATATAGCTACGGCTATTCGAATAATAAAAAGTCCTAACCGTAGAAGCACTACTATTTGCGTACAAGGAGCGGCCATTTCATGAAATTCAAACTCAACCGTCATTAGGGTGTAGGCCTTACAGTGATATATTCAAACGCTTTTTAAAATTGGATAAAAAATTGTGACCTGTAGAGGGTCCATCAGCTAAAAACGTGCTTTTTGGAACAACCCGGTGTGGCAGTTTCAGATGGTTCCTGGTGTGTGATTACCGTTTGGCGCATGCGCAGTTGTAGGAGTCAACTCACACCGTTACAGTCGCGGTGTGCATTGACTCCTCGTGATAGGATTTCCCCTAAGATTTTCTTACGGTCAAATCATAGACTATTATCTACCGATATTTACAGTATTACCACCACAAGAGGATGCAAATTGGCGATCTTGATTATTATTATTTAGTATATATACCCATCCACAATGCGAACATTCTCTCTTGTATTTGGGCTGTCTACATGCAGGTTTGAATGTATGGGATGGTATAGGAGCTTTTACGCATGACGTACTTCCGGTGTCTATTTTTAGCCTGGCCTTTTTCTATCCGTATCTTAACATGGTAAATGCTAGGGAAAGCGGGGTTTTCCCTCTTTTTCTCTTTATAGAAAACGTATTCTTTAATGTCACTCTTGTTTTAAGTTGCGTGTAGCATTCGTAATAAATTACCGATTTCAAATCATGTCTAAGTTATTATTTTTTTGTTTTAATGACGATATACTGCGTTGTAGCAGACGATATATGTCAAGCTCGCACACGGCCCAGTTGACCGCAGTACGCAAAAGCATTACAAAGATGCATTGCTGTATGAAGCCGATTTATATGTTTTGTTTTAATTTTACTGCAAACAATTAATAGATAACATCTGTTTGGTTGTAAAATGCCATGAAATAGAGCACAAGAGTAAATTATAGAATGGGTAATTAGAGATGGTGACCTGTGGTTCCACAAAAGAATTATTCAAGACGATATTAAAATTTAAGCACCACCGTAGCACATCTAATAAAAAAGAGAACAAATAATAATCACAATGTATAGAATGCACCGAGAGAGAGAGAGAGAAATTGGGTTTAACGTCCACTCGACACAAACTAGGTCATTTCGGGACTAACACATGGTTTTTAATTTTATTTCAATAATTCGCTTGCGCATAGGGGTCTTTAGCAGTGGGAGGAAACCGGAGGACCCGGAGAAAACCCACGAGGTTGGACAGGCGACCCTACTCCTTGCCACGTACAACCGGGGAATCAAAACCCCGCCAGTTGACTCAATGACAGACCGTATTCAGCCATCCAACCCTCCTAGAATGCACCAAGTCCAGTTACATATTTTCATTCAACAGTTGTTCTCTGAACCAAATACTGAATTAGAAATTGATAAAATGGACACAAATGTATCGTTCTTCTTCTTGGTTGCGGCAAGATAAACTGATTGGATTAAAATTTCACTGAGTGCCAAAAGCTGAGCCAAGACGATTTATGTGACTACAATTAACAGAAAAAAACGGTTTTAAAAAATATTCACAGATTCAACTTGATCGTCGTTTTATTCTTTCTGTTTTTCATATCCCATCAATCAAGAGAAAAATTTATAAAAATGGCTGAAGTTTTACCCTGTGCACCAAACAACTATTTTATCATTGGTAAGAGCCGTCTAAATGCGGGGAAATTTACAATAGCTATTGGCTAACAGCACACATGCATAAACAATCTTATTTGCATATTGCATACTATTTATAGTATTATTAGCTGGAATTATTTTCAAGTCGACAGCCTCAAACAAAGACCAACATAGTACCGTGTTTTGTGTCGAGTACGTAGGGTCGTGGCATGCAGTGCTATAGCAGACGATATCGAGGGTTTAGAACATAATTGTGATAAGTCAATATATCAAGCATTGTGACTTATCACAATTATGTTCTAAACCCTCGATATATCAACCTCGCAAAGAACTGTCCAGTCGGCAGTTGAATGTAAATAGGATAGACCATTTTTTAAAATCTTTTGTGTTAATAGTCCCGTAATTAATATATAACATCTGTTTGACCGTAAAATGCGTAATAAACCTCACTTAATTTTAGTTCGGGCCATTGAGCACGGATCAGTCATCCACTTGTTTCAATTGCAAACGGCCAATTACGGGTCTGGTAAACTTGCCGTATCTTTCCTATATCGAAGTTTTTGTAAATATCGCTTTCTGCCATCGGTCGGTAAACCTTACGCGTATATAGAAATGGCATTCAGTTCCATTTTATGTAAAAGAAGCTTACTGTACGACGGTATTTTCACAAATAAACACACAATGGTCTATGGGTTTCAGTCTAAGAATAAGGCCAATGTCTGCGCATGACCGAAAATGACGTCAAAATGGAAACCCGTAAAAGCTCCTATAATAAATCTATATGTTAAAGAAATCGGAATAAGAAATTCCATACTTTTATATTTGTGATAAATGAAGCCACGAAATATCAAAGGCCTTAAATCTTCCTTTGGAGGTGAATTAATTGATAATTTCAAGCAAATCATCAATTTGTATGGTTTCCACTGATCGTACGTACCTGTGTAGAAAGACTAATCATTAAAAAAAAACAACGGCAACAAATCACGAACGATAGAAGTATCAATTTCAAGCCAATCAACTTAGATCTGTTGATCGTGTTACTACTGATCACTAAAACAACAGCTAACCCCGATAACAAGTATGTTTATTAATGACAAAACTCTAATCAAGTACATGATATACTTTTTCCTGTACTGACCAGTGATCAGGAACCAACTCACACCGCAGGAAGTAGATATAGTTTCGTTGTTAAGGCAAACATCAGTTTCGGACATGCACAAGTGCCCAGGAGAAAACACACACCAGGAGTCAACTCAAACTATCACACCGGGGCCATAATCCAGGAAGTTACAGTCCAATAGGATATAATCTTACATTTCAAGTTTCATCGAAGTCGGATAAAAATTGTGAATTCTAGAGTGTCTACGACTTTGCTATTTTGTCCGGCAGTTTAGGTCAGATTTTTACAAGGGTTCACAAACTTGATATGCCATATTTTTACACTATTTGCGTACAAGGGGCGGCTATTTTGTCACTTATGGCCCTTGTTTCACTTTGTTGAACCTTGTGAACGCTACTACGCAAAAAGTTATCAACTGATCTTTGTGAAATTTATATGCATTATTTAAATTAGTGAAAGGAAGAAGCCTATTAAATTTCAGCAATTTCAGTTTATTACATCTAGAGTTATGGCCCTTGTTTCACTTTGTTGCACCTTGTGAATGCTCTAACATCTAAAGTTATCTGCCGATCTGTATGACATTTATATGCATCAATTAAATTAGTAAAAAGAAGAATCCTATTAAATTTCAGCAATTTCTGTTTATTACGCCCAGAGATATGGCCCTTGTTTCACTTTATTGAACCCTGTGAACGCTCCAACACCAAAAGTGAGATGAGAAGTCTTTTTAATTTCAATAATTTCTGTTGATTAAGTCTAGAGTTTTGGCCCTTGTTTCACTTTGTTAAACCTTGTGAACGCTATTACGCCGAAAGTTATCACCCGATCTTTGTGAAATGTATATGCATGATTTAAATCAGTGAAACGAAGAAGCCTATTGAATTTCAGCAATTTCTGTCAATTACTTCTAGAGTTATGGCCTTTGTTTCAATTTGTTGCACCTTGGGAACGCTCTAACATCAAAAGTTATCTGCCAATCAGTATGAAATTTATATGCGTCATTTAAATTATAAAGAGAAGAATCCTATTGAATTTCAGCAATTTCCGTTTATTACTTCTAGAGTTATGGCCCTTGTTGCACTTTGTGAACGCTCTAACCTCAAAAGTTATCTGCCGATCTGTATGAAATTTATATGTGCCATTTAAGTTAGTAAAAAGAAGAATCCTATTGAATTTCAGCAATTTCCATCAATTATGGTCCTTGTTTTACTTAGTGAACCTTGTGAACGTTTGAATGACAAAAGTGATTATCCGATCTAAATGAAATTTATATGTATTATTTAAATTCGTAAAACAAAAAATCCTGTCAAATTTCAACTATTTCTGTAAACTACTTCCAGAGTATGCATTATTTAACCCGTTAAGTGCGTAAGTCGTTATATAACATCCTGGACAACTGCCACTCACTGTGTGCAGGGCGTAATATAACGCCTTGGAGGTATTTTCCCCAACCTATTCTTAGAACATAGTCATGGGGGAATCCCTTGGGAATCAGGGGCCATAATTCAGGAAGTTACGATCCAATATGTGCAAATATCGAAAGGAACCAAGACCTTTGGGTTATAAACATGCATTTCAAGTTTCATCAAAATCAGATGACAATTTCTATGAAGTTTTGATTCGTTACATGCCAATATTGAAAGGAACTGAGATCTTTTGGAGATAAACCTATATCTCAAGTTTCGTCAAATGTGGACGGACGGACGGACAGGCGCAACAACAAAGTATGTCCACATGAAAAGGTGAGCGTATAAAAAGGAAACAAATGGAAGTCTCAGTCAAATGATACAGTACGTAATGCATCTTCTTCAAATATTTCTAATGTTGCTACAGCCCCATCATTAAATTTAAAAGACAGTCCACCATCTATAACCAATGAAGAATCCCACATTCGTGAACGAATTATTATTCTGTAATAAATATATGATAAATACAATATACATGTATCCTTTATATAACAACAATGTTGTTAATCTCTGATTTACTTGTTGATGTGAGAATTCAAAGTTGGATGATATACAGAGGATATAAACTTATGATATATAATCTATTTATACCTTTTAGCAAAATCCCTCGGTTTGTCAACTTTATAGACAGCTGTAAAATAAATGAAAAAATACACAAAATAATATAATGTCATCTTGATGGGAAATTAAAAATTTTAAAAATACAGCCAAAATCATCACTAATTTAGTACTCAACTGACTTATTTAATCAATAGAAAAAACTTGGAAATGTTTGTAAAAGATATCTCTGATAAGAGTAAAAAAATTTAATAGTAATTACAATTTTCCACGCAACGAAAACGTGTCACTGATTTGACTGCAAATGCCAGCGAGAAACATATGGTAGCTGAAATGTGATGTCTGAAATAATTGTAGGCTGGACATTTACCAACAAAGAAAATCAACAACAACAATCCATAAGAACTTTACTTGAAAGAAAAGTAGGCACAAGCAGTAAACCAGCGGCTGCCATGCAGGATACGCCCACATTTTGCAAGAGATGGATAGAGAACAAGCTAAAAATAAATACGATTTATTGTACAATGCAGAAAGTTATGGCCTGAAATGTGAAAATATCAAAAGGGACTGAGATCTTTGGGATATAAAGATAAGTTTCATCAAAATCGGATAAAAATTGTGACCTCTAGAGGGTCTACAAGCTTCGTATTACACACTTCTACACAATTTACGTACAAAGAGCGGCCATTTTGTCGGGCAGTTTCATTCCGATTTTTCCGTAATTCAAATTCAACCTTTATTATGGGTGAATGATGATGTATTTAAACGGTTTTTAAAATCGGAAAAAAATTGTGACCTCTAGAGAAAATCAAGATAAAAATGCGACTTTTCGAACACTCAGGGGACATACTCCAGGAAATAAAGTTCGTGTATCCACAGGCCCGGCGGAGTGGGGGGGCTAGGGGATGCTTTAGCCCCCCCAATAATTTGGCGGCAAGTACTCTTTTCTCCAGGTTATTGCGGCCCCTGGACCCACGCTTATAAGGACCTAGGATGGAAGCCCCCCCAATCAAGAATTGCTTCTGCCGGCCCTGATCCAAGATTATCAAAAGGAACCAAGATCTTAGTGTGTAATGGTGATATATTCACACGTTTCTTTTTTAAATCGGATAAAAATAATGATCTCTACGGGGTCTACAAGCTAAAAACGTGATTTTTTGTTCAATCAAGGGCCATAATTCAGGAAGTTACGATCCGATATGCGCGAATATCGAAAGGAACCAATATCTTTGGGTTATAAACATGTATTTCAAGTTTCATCGAAATTGGATCAAAATTGTAACCTCTAGAGGGTTCACAACCTTGATTTACCAGATGTTTACACTACTTGCGTACGAGGGGCAGTCATTTTGTCCGGCAGTTTTGGCCCGATTTTCACGAAATTCAAACTCAACAAACATTTCGATGTAACGGTGATATATTCGAACGTTTTTTTAAATCGGATAATAATTGTGACCTCTAAAAGGACCACAAGCTACAAATGCGATTTTTCGTACAGAGGCCATAATTCAGGAAGTTACGATCCGATATGCACGAATATTAAAAGGAACTGAGATCATTGGGTTATAAACTTGCATTTCAAGTTTCATCAAAATCATATCAAAATTGTGGCCTTTAGAGGGTCCACAACTTTGTCCTGCAGTTTTGGTCCGATTTTCCTGAAATGTTTTTTTTAAATCGGATAATAATTGTGACCTCTAGAGGAACCACAAGCTAAAAATGCAATTTTTCGTACAATCAGGGACTATAATTCAGGAAGTTACGATCCGATATGCAAGAATATCGAAAGGAAACAAGATATTTGGGTTATAAACATGCATTTCAAGTTTCATCAAAATCAGATGAAAATTGTGACCTCCAAAGGGTCCACAATCCTGATACACAATATTTTGACAATATTTGCGAACAAGGGGTGGACATTTTTACGAAATTCAAACTCAACCATCCTTAGGGTGTAACAGTGATATATTAACACGTTTTTTTTAAATCGGATAAAAATTGTGACCTCTACAGTGTTGACAAGCTAAAAACATGATTTTTAGTGTGAAGCATTGGTGTCATGGTAGGATGAATTTCATCATTCCCTAACATGATGCTGTTTAGGATGAATTTAATCATTCCCTAACATGCTGTTTCAGTAATCTACTTTTGACAAGAGGGTCTTAAAAAACATATTTCACATAATATTAGACTTTACCATGTTGGTTTTTTTTTTATATAAATTTTTTTTTACCATTTACAACGGGATCACGAATTGTATAAGCCATATATGGTTCACTGGAATCAAAACGTAAAGAGTTGTTGAAAGTCTGAGTTATTTTTTCTAACGTTTCATTATCTTCAACTGGAAACTGTTGACCTGTCAATTCACTACCTTTAAATAAAATATTAAATATACATACAAGTGGGCCAGTGGGGGATGTAGATGCTGTGAATATGGGGGGAGGGGTGTCCAACTCTAGGGCACCATCCACAATCCCACCCCACAACAAAATGCTGGCTATAACACTAAGCGACCAGTAAAGAGAGAGAGAGAGAAATGGGGTTTAACGTCCACTCGACACAAACTAGGTCATTTCGGGACTAACATATGGTTTAATTTTATTTCAAATATTTGCTTGCGCGTAGGGTTCTTTAGCAGTGGGAGGAAACCGGAGGACCCGGAGAAAACCCACGAGATTGGACAGGCAACCCTACTCCTTGTCACGTACAACCGGGGATTCGAAACCACGCCAGTCGACTCAATGACAGCCATCCAACCCCCCAACCCAGTAGAACATAGATCGTATTGCCTATGGGTTATTCCATGTCAAGTGGGTCAATTTTTAGAAATTTGGCAAATTGACCCCCTCGAAAAAATCTGGAAAAAAATATATGTATATGTACATGTAAAGATCGGTTGCCATGCAACGAAACATATGCCCACAACAGCTAAATCATCTGACAGGTCAACAAGGGTTGTCGCATATTTATTCTTTTGTAGGTAATTGGGGGCCTTTACAAGACATTTCCATACAGATCAGATTATAATTTTTGCCGTTTGAGGATTCACAAGGTTCTACAAACTGAAAAGGGTCTCAACTCTGGAAGTAATCTACAGAAATTGTTGAAATTTGACAGGCTTTTTCGTTTTACTAATTTAAATAATGCATATAAATTTCATACAGATCAGATGATCACTTTTGTCATTCAAACATTCACAAGGTTCACAACCGCCATAATTCTAGAAATTATTGACAGAAATTGCTGAAATTCAATAGACCTCGGTTTCACAAATTTAAATGATGCATATAAATTTCATACATATCGGATGATAACTTTCATCAATCGAGCATTAACAAGGTTGAAAAAAGTTAAACAAGGGCCATAACTCTAGAAGTAATTATTGTAAATTGCTGAAATTCAATAGGCTCCCTGGTTTCAATAATTTAAGATACAGTTCCTCCCAAATTTTTGGGACCGAAATCGCCGCGACTGGGTAAAAAAAAACTCTCGGAATTCTCTTAGATTTCACTTGATTCCGCGTAGATTTTTCTCTAAGATTCTCTAGGAATTCACCGTGTTTCTCTAGGAATTTACCGTGTTTCTCTAGGAATTCACCGTGTTTCATGCTTTCGTTTCGTGCTTCCCGCAAGGAATTCACGAGCCTACCTTAAGCTAGGGTCGAACTAATATTGTCTATAATAAATTAAAGGAGTTGTAATATAGTAATGCTCCCGGGAAACGTGTACATGTATAATGTACAGGCAGGTTTGAATAACATATGAGTAAGGTAATCTCGGGAAGACATTTACCAGCATTCTGTATCGGTTAGGATTTTTTCCCAAACGCACTTTAGGTAGCACGTCATTTCGGTCCCGCGTCATTTCGGACTCAACACAAACGTCGTTTCGGACTCAGTCTGGCGACTTTTCGGACTTACTCGGCGACTTTTCGGACTCGGACTGGCGACGTTTTCGGACTCAATAAAATCTGAAAAATTCTATGAACTTGAAGTAAAACCAATATTACTTGCCTTTTGTGTTTTATTTTATTTATAACTGATTGGCGCCCATCACAATAATAAAGAAATTAATACTAGCCTTTTGTGTTTTATTTATCCCATACAGACCATACGCAATTGAACTTGAAGTAAAACCAATATTATTGTTTTATTTAACTGATCAGTGATTATTGCATTTAATCTGTATTTTGATGGGTAAGTCTAGATTATTTACGATAATTGATCGCCAAAACACCGCTACTTACCTTTTGTTGATTAGTGAAACCAAGCCGAGATTCTTTAATCTGTATCTGTATTGATCGGTGATTTTTGTATTTAATCTAGTGATTAGTGAAACCATTGTTGTATAAGAAATAAAAACACTGTAACTTGTATTTAATCTGGTGTTGATTATTGAAACCAAGCTGAGATTATTGATAGCCCAAGCCCACGACAAGAAGGCCTCCGGTGTGATGCTTGTGATTTATGGCAAGATCGTACCTGTGATTCCGGTACTTAATGAATTTTTCTTTTATTGTTATTATTAATACGCATCACTCGAGATAAGTATCGGAGTTTAAACCGTAATAGAGCTGACTTCGAATGGAATGTGTGAAAAAAAAGTGTATTTTATAAGATAAATGAATACCCGACTGAAGCTATTATTTCATCAAATAAATATTCCCGTTGTTATTAATGTATGGTCTGTATGGGATAAATAACATGCGTAAAGCTGGTCGTGCACGCTCAAAGAAAATGTAACAAATATCTTGGACGGTCTCTTCAAATTTTCTTTGACCGTGTACGAAGCCAGCAAATAAATTTGCCCCTGCGTCGAAAAATGAAAGTGAAATCTATAGATTTAGATGCGTGTGTAGATTTGTGGCAAATTTATTTGACGGCCTATCGTACACGAGCATAAGTTCCAAATCTTTGACACATTTATTTGACGAAAAGCTAGGCATGCCAGCTTTTGTCAAACCTCATATGGCAAATTCCCTCTCGTACACGAGCAAATTTATTTAACAAATCTCCATTTGTCAAAGAAAATTTGCTCGTGTACGACAGGCTTAACGTCTGTATGGGATAAATAAAACACAACTAACAATGTTTAATTTCTTTATTATTGTGAATGGTCTGTTTTCAGCCTCACCTAAAACGAAAGAAAAAACAGTTATTACAAATATATACATAGAATTTTTCAGATTTTATTGAGTCCGAAACGTCGCCAGTCCGAGTCCGAAAAGTCGCCTGACCGAGTCCGAAACGTCACCTACCCGAGTCCGAAATGTCGAGGACATATTTTTTGGAGTCTGAAATGACGTAAGTCCGAAATGACATGTAATCGCACTTTATACGCCGGCCAAAATGTATGCAAACTATGAACAACTTACAATTTTTTAAACATATCAATTCATCTTCGTCTATAACTTAGATGTAATCCGTCAATTTTTGGCTGCTATCAAATCCAAACTTTAAATTATATACGATGAGCTTTTACACATTACTTCATTACTCGCAGCTTCGGTTAATCTAAATCAATCATCCATACAGCACGTACAGTAAATCACTTCGCGGGTCGCTTAACGGTTATGTTACGTGGTCAGAAATGCGCCAAAAGGTTGGGACTACATGTATATTCTTACGCTGTTTTACTCGGCAAATAATATCCGCTGTGACAATATACATTCTACTTTATGTCACCTAATTCATTTCGGTGGGAGCAGATATTGAATAAAGCCATTTCACACACACATACGTGTACATTACATGCGCCTCATATATTTATACAATATCCAGAGTGTGTTAATTCTCGTCTTCACCCCGTTATAATTTACTTATTTTGAGTACACTTTCTGAATGATTCCATTCTTTTGTACGTCCAACTTGTCAATTTCCTACTGCATATACATGTACCCTGTGTAGCTGCAACCTATAAGCTTATACATACATGTATGTTTGCGTTTAAAATCTAGATATCAGAAGCTCGAAAGTTATACTAGACGGTCAATACGCAAGTTTCGTGGTTGAACCCGCATCGATATTGCATAATATCGGACCCATATTTATCTTTGCTACTCGGACAAACCCAAAGAACCACACGGACCAATTAAATTACATTATAAGGCTTGACTTATTCATTTTAAAAATATAATACAGACAATATGTTATTTATGATTAAATCACAATACAAAGAGGCGAATAATTTATAGATGAGTAGATTCATAGCTTAAGAATGGCCGCTGCCGGTAAGTACATATTAGCAAATATTTATCTTTATTACATCGTTCGTTCGTTCTTGCTGTTTAACGTCTGCTTCCACATAAGTGATATCGCAGACAAGACATAGGAGAGCCGAAGCTGATTCCTGTTTTTTAGAATATGATTTTGTAATCTTTCCATTTGGCCTTAGGCCATGGATTTGGTTTAGTGGGAAGTTCTTCCCTTTATTTAATATAAAACATATCGTTTGGTAGATAATCTCGTCTGCTTCTGGATTGGTAGATGTCATCGTTTTAGTGTTTAGGTGCCAGGCCCGTCTTATCGTGGCCTCCCCTTACTCCACTATCCCACTCTCTGGGTTTGGTATCAGTTTTATTTGCGGAATAGTGTTTAGGTGCCGAGTTCGTCTGACCGTAACTCCCCCTTACTCCACTATCCTGCTAGTTTGGTAGATGTCATCTTTGTGGGGTTTGTGTTTAGGTGCCAGGCCCGTCTTATCGTGACCTCCCCTTACTCCACTATCCCACTCTGTAGGTTTGGTGTCTGTTTTTGGTGGAATAGTGTTTAGATGCCGAGTCCGTCTGATCGTGACTCCCCCTTACTCCACTATCCTGCCAGTTTGGTATAAATCCCCTATGTAGTTTAGTGTTTAGATGCCGGGCCCGTCTAACCGTGACCCCCTCTTACTTCACTATTCTACTTAGTCCAACTGTGTCCATTAGGGCGTGGATTTGTTCGAAGATTTGCAGTTTCGGGAAGAGTAGGTTCTTAGTGTTGAATGGTATGTTGTTGGTCTCCATTGTTCTCACTAGTTCCCTTCTCTCCTCCTCGTATACCTCGCAGTCTACCAGGACATGGTTGGTGGTACATTCTTCTCCGCACTCACAGATGATGACTTGGTGTTTGTAGTCTCGCAGCCGCTATTTCACCCTTAGCTTCGATATAAGTCTACAAATATCTCTTCTAGGGTGATTGAGTGTTGTCTTTGTGTAGATCTTGTCATCCAGCCGGAATCTGTATGTGTCAAGTTCAACGAGATTTAATTCCCAGATTGAATTGACCTGTCTTTTGACCATACTGTAGATTTCCGTGGTGCTGTAGTCTATGGTGCTGAGTGGTGCTGTGTCCTTGAGACCTTCATTGGCGAGTCGATCTGCCTCCTCGTTTCC